ATTACGGTAATTACTATGGTTACTGTAGTACAAAGTCTATACAGGATTCTTTTGACTCTTCTAGAAGAGAGAAATCCGTAATTCGTTTTGATAAGGCAGTGATAGTGCTCCACAAAGAAAAAAACACCCACCACAGAACGTTGCAACGTTAATAATCAGAAGAACTTGTCCTTTATACTGTGACAAATCAGTAAATTGCCCTTGTAACGTTTCCATCTGAAAACGAGAACCTCAGAAGTTTTTCTAAAATTTTTTTGGAGCCAATTGGCATTTTAATTGCCCTACCTGGAAATCATAAATAGACTGATTAACATCTTTGCACTGACTCCACCTTGTGGTTTCATCTACCATCTTTGGCCCTGAACGACAAGTAATACCCTTGTGGATATTAAGTGATAACTGTTGATAAAATGTTATATCTCCAGCTATTACAAATAAAAACGAGGAAAATGAGCTGACTTACCAGGCTGCGCATTGATGGCAGCCACCAAGAAAAACGTCAGTACCAGAGAGAACATTATCGATGATTGCGCGACCCTGATCGACTGCTTTTATATTGCCCAGAGAGAGGGGGGTGGTTAGACACCCGAAAGAGAGTGGGCGGGATCACAGGTATGTGTGTGTGTGCGTGTTTGCGCCCCGGCAGACACAAACAAACGCGCAGTCAGTCGGTTACTTTGTTGGATAGATGGGTTGTTCAAGTGGTAAGGCAGGTAGGTGTACATGTATGTACGCATGCCATCCGACTATACGAATCTCCCACTGGGTGTGCCATTTGGTCCGGTATTTGAAAGTTTAAAGGTTTTCTGTTATACTCCACGTGGTGATTGTGATAAGGTGCATTGTATCTGCTCATATCTACCTGATACAGAAGCAGAAATTAAATGGCAGTTGACCGAATTTGGCTAACAGGGATAAGAAGGAGGTAGAAGAAAAAGGAGAAGGAAAATACACCAAATAAACAACAATAAACATCAAACAAACAAAAAGATATCATATCGTATACCTACCCCAGCACAACCAGAGAGCCATAGTCTCTAACGGTGCCTGTAGGACCGGGAGAAGGTTCAAGCTCCGCGGGTACTTCAGTATGAACCTAGGTAATCATTAGACTACGATAAATCGCCAAAAAGACCAAACTTGC